AATTTCAGAACCGAAAAAGCCACTGTTCATTGCATTCTCTGTACTCACAAATGCTCCAAAGATTTTTACTGTCAAAAAGAGCAACAATCCTAATGTCATTCAATGTCTCAACGGTTTGCGTTGTTTCTCAATGATGTGGGTTGTATTCGGTCATGGTTACATGACTTTCTACGAGCTACCTCATATTAACAAAGATAAAATCTATAACGTAAGTGACAACTTCTAGTGCTTTTATTTACATAAAAGTATTAAAAAATTTCCGATTACCATTTATAGTGGATCGAAACTCCATACTCCATGCTAGTCCAAAATGCTACACTCTGTGTGGATACATTCTTTTTCATGTCTGGTCTATTGATGTTGTGGGGCGCCTTCCGTGAAATGGAACGCACGTAAGTATTCATATTGTATATTATAAATATTTCTTTAATCAAACGAAGTTTATTTATTCTAAATTAGTAAGGGAAAACTGAACCTGGGTATGATGTATTTCCATCGTTATATTCGTTTGACTCCAGTCGTAGCTGTTGTTATACTCTACATTATGTCACTTTACAAATATTCGGGTCACGGTCCTATGTGGATGAAGATCGGAACTCAAGATGAGCGTTGTTCGGACACATGGTGGGCAACGTTGTTGTACGTACAGAATTATGCATTCCCTAAGAAGATTGTAAGTATAAATATTCCAAAAGTACATATAGAATATAAAATAATTACTATCGTTTCACTTTTTCAGTGCGTCAGTCAGTCTTGGTACTTGGCTGTCGATACACAGCTCTACGTTCTGTCACCACTAATCCTTATTCCACTTTGGAAATGGGGCAAAAAGGCGCTCGCTCCAATCATTCTTTTGGGTGTTCTTTGTATGGCCGGCACTTTCGCTACCTTCATGGTTTTTAAATTCACTCTCTTCCGTGTGGAAGATGATAATGTTGATGATCGTCAACGTTGGACCTACTATCCGACGCACACTCGTGTACCCACTTGGTTGATTGGTGTCATCTTTGGTTACTTCTTGTATACCAAGAATCGTGGTAGGCAAATTCCATTGGCAAAAAAATGGGTCATTACCGGTTGGGTTTTGGCATTTGGTGTTATGTTGGCCGATATTTGGGGACCTTATTGGCGTATCCTACCCGAGAATCCCAGTGCACCAATTATTGAAGGTGCTTTTTACGAACCATTAAGTCGTGCTTCTTGGGCCATCGCTATCGGCTGGATTGTGTGGGCCTGCTACAATGGTCATGGTGGTATCATCAATGAGTTCCTTTCATGGGGCTTCTTCACAGGATTCAGCCGTCTCACATACTGTATGTATGTAATCCACAGAATTGTTCAACTGGTGAATGGTGGTCGTATTCAAACCGATACCCACTTTGGCGATTACGAAATGGTATATACTAATTGATGTTTTGTACCAAACAAAATTAAACTAAATTGTTTATTTGTTGCTTTATAGGTTCTTCGCTGGTGGCATGATTTCGGCATTTCTCTAACACTCTCCATATTCGCCACATTGGCTTTCGAAGCACCTATTTTGGGCATTGAGAAGGCAATATTTGGACATGGCGAAGGTAAATCAGCACCTAAAAAAATAGAACCAACATCTGCTCCTACTTCCGCTGATAAGACTGACACTGAAGTGACAGTAGAAGTGGCCAAAGCTTAAGCACGACCAGAGGTATTAAGGTCTCTACTCAAGTATTCTGATAAGTTCAGTATAGATATTAGCCAAAGAACCATTAAAATTAAATTCATTTAATGAAAACAAGAAATCGTATTATATACGTTTTATAATATTAAAGAAAACTAAATAAATTGTATATACTTAACAATATTATTATGGAATCAAGTTGATTTTTTCTTATTACTTTATTTTACCTAAGTATGAGATATGCAACCGAGTTGACCAAGAAGGTGAATTTTTATTGTTACCTGTTATTTTCTTTTACAACTTTTATTTCATGATACTAAATATTGTATATATGAGAATTATATTTGGTTGCTTGGGTTTTAACGGACACAACGTTAAATATATTTAAATATTTTAATAAATTAAACCATAGCACTACCATTGTCTCAAAAAACCAAATGCATTCGCACACATAAACAGTTTCTCCGAAAGATGAAGCGCAAGCCAGTTTCTCAGTTTCTCATTTTCTGAAATAAAACCTTTAATATTACAAGCGATTTAAGCGAATTTATGTTCCACAACAAAAGTCTGCCACGATCAGAGTATACGGAAAATTGCATCATAGATTAAACCAATTTGAATAGCATTTTGGTTGTTCGTTGGGTTTTCGGCGTTTTCTCATATGTTATGAAAAGTAATAGAGAAGAGATGTTGAAATAAATAAATGAATTAAGTTCGCCAAATAGAACACTGCTCGTTAAAGCAACAAAGAAAATAACAAGCAAATCATCATGACTGATAAAAACAGATAAGAGAAGAAAAACGATCTTAAACAAAATGATCTATATAAGTTAGGAAAGTACCAAAGTATCGCATTACTCCGTATTTCAGCATATGATACATATATAATTACCGCAGCTATGTATATCTATCAAATTAAAATACCAATCAATAAAGAAATCATGCCAAGTTAACGCGATTACTGCTGTTGTTACCTTTTTTGCAATTAGACAATTATCCACATGACAATGAACCAAATTCAAACTCCAACGACAAAGTTTGGTATAAGTGCGAGTCGTTATATGTTATCTGTCATTAATATTAATTAATTAATTTAAAATCAATTTTTGGATTGTCCTCTTAAGTGTACTTAAAATCGTATAATTTGATAATAATGAGTCCGGTAAAGTTTGCTTTACATTACATTGTATCTACTCATCAGCAGTCGTACAATAAATAACATAATTTCTTCCCGTCGACTATTGCACTTCAATTGTGAAATAAATAAATATATATTTATATTTACCCAAACACACATACATACACACCAATATGCGGTTTATTTCTGAGGTACTAACTATCACTAGCTCGCCAAGTTTCTGCCGGAAAAGCGTTTTTAACCCAAAAAACTGGCAGAAGAGAGCACAAGTTGAGAGCGTAAGACGCTGAGAGAGCTGCTAATGAAATTACTGTTAGCAGAAAATAGTTACTGCGTAATGAAAAAAAATGCTTTTAAACACACAAATATTAACTACTGTATTCCTTATCACACTTTATCTATTTCTGGGAACACGCAGTAACATACATATACATAACTGAGTGTAACAGAAAACATATTGCAAAAAATTCATTATATGGAGGCAAAATCTTATGATGGTTGAATTTCCAGCTGTAAAATTTGTTCATTATACGAGTATAAAAACTTCACTTTCATTCATAGAAACTCATTATAAGGAGATAAAAAATGCACCGAAAGTAGATTGCAAAAGTTATGTCTTCGAAATGAATTAATTAGGAAAATAAGGAAAGGGAAAGGAATAGGAAAGCTTTATTATATGGAAGTTCACTTTCAGCAAGTTTGATTGTAATATAGAGTGTATAGGAAGATTTTGCGAGAGTCCAAAAGTATGTCGGACGAGTGTTTTAGCTCGTTCCATATCATGCCATATCAGGCGAATACGGGCAGTGGTTAATGGTTAAAATGTGATTTTTGGTCAAATAATCGATCACCAGCGTCGAATCGAGTGTTGGATTCTGAGCAATTTTTGGTCGTCAATCTATTTGTGCGGAACAAACCGTGCACACAACTTTCGTAAGCCCAAATGTTCGGTCAAAATGCAATACATCGATGTTTTGGAGAAGTTCAGTTCCATTTCCATGAATTTCATTGATGATTTCGGCTGATTTTTGATAAATTCAGCACAATTTCAATGGAATTTCCGGTGATCACTGATTTTTATTGGCCCACAATTGAAACGTTTCGGAAACAGTTTTACCAATTTTAAAACAAAATGTTGGCTCTTTGTTTGCACCGATAACACAAGCATACTGGCACTTAAAACGCAATAACTTCACTTCCAATCTATGAAATTCTCACTGGACACTCGATAAAGATAGCAGACTCTAACGCACCAGTCGACATATAGATGGCATATAGATGGCGCCACCAGGGGCGCTAGAATTAAAAAGTCGTGTTTATTTTAGAAAGCACCGTGTATGTTAAAGTGACTGCAAACGCAAAAGCTGTAGTATAGAAGAATTTTAGAATTAAAGTATATACATAATTCACATAGTTGCCATGGAGGGTGGTACACAGACCAATTATAGCGATCTTCCAACTTTAAGACAAAAAGTGACACAAATGACAAAATGAGCAAACAACGAAACTATGAACCGTAATGAACTGCAGCAATTTTGCCAAATTTACGCAGAACACTGCTTCTTTAATAACATTGAATAACATATAAAGCAACCAATACACATATTGAAATACATATTAAAATTCTGACCTTGCAATGGACTAATTATACCTTCTTTGACCTCAATTCGTCGACACACCTGGACATGTGTTAATCGAAAGATTTTTTGAAAAAATAATGTTAGAATAAAGCATTCCTGATATGTCATGCAAAAAATTAACTGTTATTTTTTCTTAAAATCGGCAAAAATTATCGTATTCTGTATTTATTTGATAATATAAACTACAGTGAATACTCTGTGTAACTTAGATACTTTTATTTATAATAAAGGGTCATTCATTTGAATTGAATAGTGAATGTTTATTATCATCCGACTGATAACTGGCGAATAACACGTATGAAGTTCTGCTCCAAGACCTGCATCGTAGCGGGATTGTCCGCTTAAACTTTAGACTTTACACATCCCCATAGGAAAAAGTCTAACGGTGTGATAGTAAAATCTTGGTGCCCAATCGACCGACCAAAAATGTGAAATTTTCTGCTGACAGAGGTGTTCTCTCAATAAATTCATCGATTAGCGCGTTGTGTAGAAAGTGGCGCCTACTTGCCTGCTTGCAATGAATAAACTATGTATATGCGAGGATCAAAAATGAGTCTTTACATTGTAATTTGATTGAAATCAGAACTGTTGATTATTCATTACTCTACTATACTTTATAGTAACAGAAATTGCACTTATACATATGTATATATGGATACATCATAGAATTAACAATTATAGTATTTTACAAATTTTTACATCTATCTCGAATATTATTCACATAAATTTTGTTGAGATACAGTGGTTACAGTGGGCAATGAGGATCGTTTCGCAGGCGTTGTCCTGTTTCGTGGTAGTAAATAACTTTCTATATCGGCCACCGGGGCCTCAACAGCCAAATAAACGCAAACAGATACAAGTAGTGTTACACCAAAATTACTCCAAAAGCTCAAAGCCTGTAATTTTAAAGAAAAAATTGACAGTATCATATCGGGAATGTATACATTCGTTTCTTAACCTACCACATCATAATCAGAAAAGTATGTATTGGTTTTAATGCGTGACGCATTGACAGTAATCACAATCAAATGCCAAATGTACATAGTATACGAAAGCTTCGAAATAGGTTGCCACAAAGTCCAGGAAAGAAAACTATTTATCGGACCACCATAGCCATTTATACAGGCATATACTACCCAGCATAACGCTAAAGGCCACGCTACGCGCCCACCAGCAAAATAAAAAGCACTTTCCAGTACGCCGGGATCGTTTCGGGTGGGCAGTGTATTTGGATACCAAGCAAATACCAATGTGAAGAGCGTGCAGAGCGATATAACCCAACCAATGCCGACCCACCACTAAAAAAATTTTTTATTAAAATTAACTTGGTGTATGGTAAATATAGGTTGAATTATCCTTACAGTTGATATTTTAGCAATGCGTCCATTATTGTAATGTAAATAGCAGCCAAATATCAGACCGATCAACCATGCTGAGCATCTGGTGTGTGTTGAGTAGTATATTTTAGGCATTGCCTCACTTGCGGTGCCATAGTTGCTGCAATTGAATAATTGATTAATGAAATACTTCAATTATTACGTAAAATAAGATGTACCGTGCAATGTCATAAATTGTGTATTTATTTATCACAATAATCGCAAATAAACAAGCAACGAGCAATAAACCAAAAATTATTGTTATCCATATACCCAATTTCCTCCATTTCCAAATGAGAATTAAAAATATAGGCGATAAAAAAAATAATTGAGTATCAACAGCCAAATACCAGCTATGTCCAAGGCACTGAAAGTAGATTAATTAGTCGAAACAATAGAATTTAAAAATTTATATGTAATTAAACAAAATCAATATTATATGTGTAATCTTAAGTTAAGAGCCTATTATATCAGGAGACATAGTGGGGCGTATGAGTGATTTCAAGTGTTAAATAAACTGTGAAAAAATGATATATCTCTATGTACCATAAATATGTACACACAATCAAATGAATTTATGGATTTTGTGTTTATGGCTGAGTTTTTATGGAAAGCAGATTACGCCTTCGAAAATATTAATGGCTTTAGATCATATATGGATTACTATCAATACACAAAGTTACCAACACACTACATTTCTCCATAACTTCATTTAAACTAGTTGTATATCAAACATTAATTAAGAAAAGTGATTCCGGTAATTTTCTTCGTTTTACAGCTCTTTTGTATTCAAATATCGACGACTCACCATTTTGCCAGCCGCTACATAATTTTGTACATATAATAACGTGGCCCACCAAGTATTGTCACATATTTTATTTGCAACACTAAGGCTCTTCCAAATGGGTCCATCGTCCATATAATTAAATAAAGACATGTAAAATAAAATGGCTACAGCAAGAATCGGAGTAAGGCGCAAATAACGGTGAATATACATCATTGGTACATTGAGTTTTCCATGATTTCTAAAAGTGATATGTTAATGATTTAAATAAAAGTGAAATAATTACTCACATACTTTTGCATTTCTCTAAAGGAGCCCATAATCAGTAATAGTCCACTAAGAAAGAAAAATGAGTCCACAACAATTGAGCCGCTCTGTTCAATCATCGAAAATGGCGTTTGTTCCCACTATTTAAGAGATATATAATTTAGAAATAGTACATATATCATTATTTATTAGTAGCAATTAAACTTTTAACTGACTCACACTTTTTATAACGACTGAATTAATATTTGGCGACAGTATGCGATACAGGTAACAATGCAAGAATATAATCCAAAACAATGAAAGACATCGTATGCCATGAAGACAGGGTATGTGTCCGTGCTGAATCTTTAGTAATTGTTGCAGATTTTTAGGGATGGAAAAAGAAACTAATAACTTGCTGGGTTGTTCTGAAATCATATTCATAGTTACATATAGTTTTATTCACATAAACAATTGAACGTGTTCTTAACCAAAAGCTTACTTCTTTTGTAACTGTAAAGGTAGTCAAAGATAGTACTCAGCGCCATCAGAAGTGCCAAGGTAATGAAAACTGTACTAAAATTAAGAAATCAAAATTAGTTATTGTTACTTTTTAAATTAAAATATTGTGGAAAGATTTAATAACCTTCATGGCTGCATTTCATATATGTAACAACATATGTATGTACATATGTATAACCCAATCTGAACAAGTAATCTGCTAACGATTTGCATATAACGGAAAGCTTCTTTTTGTGCTTTTAATAATGAAAACGGATAATTTATCTTGACTTTCTTCACCAAATGGGTTAACTATTTTCAATTGAACATCAACAAAATAAGTTTGCATAGTAGTCCCTAGTCCTTCTGTAGGTAGTTTATTGTAGATTACACCTTGTGGATGTCGGTAGAGTTTACTATTTTGACTGTGACTTTAGTCTCTCATGTGTTCGAGTGAATTCATGTTTCTTTGAAGGTTACAAAACAACACAGAAACTAAAACACTGCAATGAAGTAATCTCACGATTACACTTGTTTCCCATAGAACCACAGCACCCATCACCCACAACTTGCCCAATATTTCATTAATATCAAGAATCTAAACTTTCTTTTGAGGTGCCTACTGTGTTAGTTATCTCGCAAACCTTGAATAGGCGGTTTGCCAATAAGTTATGGTTAACTTTTGACACGTTCCCTTTCAGCGATAGTCGTTTTTGAGCCTTCAAAATCTGACGTGTGATCACTTTGATATCACTGCCCAACGTCGTTTCCAAATATAAGAATAGAATAACCATTAGATAGATCTTTATTCCTCTATCCATTTTTCCAAAATCCATGAACAAGTTCTCGTCTAAAGATTGATTCGTCTAAAGTTTTAAAATCCAAATACATTTTGCCACTAATATTTTTACCGCAAATTTGGTCTGTCGTCACTAAATGCTTGCTCATCGGGATCATACTCAAAGATCCATCACTTGTCACCTGTGATTACTTTATTCAAAAATTGGGGGTCACTTTCACACTGGCACACTTCTAATCGTCAGTGAGCACTTGTGCTAAGTGCTCCGTCACAATGTTATGAACCAAAGATGGGCAGTTAAACGAATACTAAGTCGACGGTCTGATTTCAAAACTTTGCGCACACGAGTCATTTGGTCTCCCAGCACGGTCTTCATCAGAGACCTAGTCCCGGCCCGGTGCCACCGAACCCCACCACTTCTTGCTAAAGCAACATCTGGGTAAGCCTGTTTGATCATTGATCAGATTTACTGATTTTCACACAGAATTTAATCGCGTACCACACACACAGAAACACGTCGCGCGAAAATGCTTGTACTGACTCTCGGAGACAACTGACCAGCCGCTCGTTCATTAGCTAGGAACACCCTCTACCGAATCCAGTCGGTGCGCGCACGCTCCGAAGTACAGTCGCGGCGGAAAAAAGTCAGTAATATTACTTAATATGGTTTCTCTTTTAGTGCCGCCCAATGCGATTAGATATGAGAACTTTTGAACGTTCTATGTATTAGTTTTTTAATTTCTCTTAACCTTAAACAGTGCAGCACTTCAGAAGAAAAAAGGATTTCAAACAAAATCTCTAATAATGTGTACTCTTGCATATTAAGTGTACATATGTAGTAATTGTAAAAAAATCAACATGTACTTACATTGCAACCCAATCGAGAGTTTCAAGTTCAACATTTTCGCGCGTTGAACAGGTGGATGCGATCACCAAGTTGGTTGTTGTATTGAAACTTAATTTATATGAATCTGATAAAAACTCTTTCAAAAGCTTATCAAATTCATCTGTACTACATTTGTTTGGGAAACATATGCCTAATTGTATTTCAGCATTAAAACCAAAACCAATCGATTCGAGGGGAATATTGGCCTGACAATATTTACCCAACAATGGTGAGCTTATATCGAGGCATTCATCGAAATTTCCCATCTCCATACGATGACCATATAGTATACCAGAAGGAAATTTTCCCCAGGCATCAAGCACTATAAAATATGAGTGTAGAACATATACATATGTATGTAATAAGTAATTTTCGATCAATATTTAGTATATGTACATACTTCTCTGTGCCCAATTTTCATTGTCTTTCAGCGCGACTCCCACAATTTTTAGATCTGCTGAGCACTCTAAACTCACATTATTCGATTTTGTAAATACATGAAATTGTTCGAAAAATCTAATTCCGAGCGCTTGATTGACACTTTGCATTTTTTGACTTCCGCAAACAGACACCTCTGTGGTAATAATAATCGCAATTATGATGTACGTTAGTTTCCTACACCGCCAAGGCGCCAGTGCCATAGTAGCTCTGTTTTGCTTATTACTCAGTGCAATGCCACCAGGAATTTCGAATTTTCACTGATATAACAAAGCTAATAACGCGAGGTGAAATGGTTGGCGGTTGATTTATAACTTGTCTACGATAAGCGTTATTATTTATAGGCAACTGTCTACGAAATACCTGTCGATTTGAGTTATTTAATAAAGACAACAACTTAAATTTGCACTTCAATCTTTTGAGTGCTCATATGTAGATAAGTTATAAAATATAGTATGAGCAAATTAACAGCTTACAGTGTATTGTAAATGCACTATAAGTTATAAAAAATAAATATTTGATAATCACCTCAAGAGAACGAATTCTTCTGAAATGCAAATCATCAAATGTGAACTGGACTCAAACAGTAAGCATAAACCGGATCGTTACTTTCTCTCAACCCTGTCTTACTAATAGTCTGACGATAGAATCGATGGAGTAATAAAAAGATAATTGGAGAAAGAAACCAACGAAAACCATCGCTTAGCCATATTGTTCGCCCGATTTGGCTCTTGGTAACATAAATAGTTATAGTACATAAACCCGAAATGGATTAGTTTCAATAGAGAACTTCTCTGTTCATTAACACATACATATGTATAAGAGACAGAAAAGGATGTCACCTTGACTGTAATTCAATAATTCAATTAATTTTAATTTATAAATAATTCTAAAAAATTCTTACAGAATTCAAATAAGTATTTTTGAAATGTATTTAACGTAAGTGGTACACTGTAATAGTAGAATTCCTCTACAAAGAAATCAGGTGTTTGCTTAGAATTGAGTGATGCCTTATTCACATTACTTAGTGGCTAATATTTGAGAATTGCCCGAATATGTTTATGTGTATACAAGATATAGATAATAGTATTATTTTTCTTGATATTGATTAGATTTTTGAAAATGCAGACACTACATATACAGTTGTCTTTACGTATATATAATTTAGTTAGTGCGTCAACGCCATTAATTCCACTTGATAGTACATTGACCTATATAAAACGTTAAATATCATTTTCAGTTTTGTCATTAAATGCTCATGTCATTCCCAGCTGGAAATATTTAACGTTCCAAATTTTTATGGTCACTGAGTTTGCCCTCGAAACTTTTCAACCCGAAAATTATATGACAAGAAATATGTGTAATTGTAATTTTTACTAAGAAGTTTACTTTTATGAGGTCTCAATCTGTTTCATTTAGCGTTTATAGTCAGAAAAAATGTCAAAGGTTCAATCAACTTACTCCCACTATTCCTGTTATACTACTGTGGGCAAAAAATAGTAAGACTTTCGTGCCTTCAAGATATATCACCTATTACCCAAATGTCGACATCGAACAATACATTTTAGAGGCCTAAGATATTTATATGTGATTCTAAACCTCAAATATCTGGAATTTTAAAAATATAAGTATTAATGAATATCAGAGAGCAACTTCCTGATATTAATGTGGTCTTGTTTGAAAAATTAAAATCAGATCAATACTTCCCTTAGTCCCCATATACCTAATATAGAGATTTTCGAAATTCCGGATCACCTAATATCCCATATATCGGTCAATATGTGAGTTACCTCAATTAAAATGAGAGAGCGTATTTTCTAGCAACCATGTATCTTTATGCACTAGGTCTAGTTGAAGTAATATGAAAAGAGTTAGAGGGCACAATAGACCAATGGTCGCTGGGCACATCCTCCCACAACTATCTATCTATCTATTCAAAATTTCTTCGAATAATTACTGCTAAATTCTAACATTTTTATGCTCTTGCAACGGGTTTTAACATATAGTGTTTTTGATTCTTGCTAGTTGCAAGAGTACAAAATATTCGGTTACACCCGAACTTAGTCCTTTCTTACTAGTTTTAATTTTCTTTTAATATTTCTAGAAATAAGCTACACTAATATTCAACTCCTTGATATTCCAGTCAACCGCACTAGCACAGTTTTGAAAACCACCCAACCAAATACCAACAAAGAATTAAAGATTAATAATAACCCGTAATAGGGGATTAAAAATTTACCTACACATGAAAACATCACCCAGCGTTTGAGCTCTGGGGCAGAAAACATAATCGTATTCTCTAATTAAAAAAAAAATGGATGTTATCGTATAATTATGATAATATTTACATGTGCAAAAATGATTTTTAATTAAAATTAACTAATTAATTTTTTCATTTCCATTTTTTTTATTCAATTTCTCTTTATATATATATACGCATTTTAAATTTGTATATAATTTTTATAATTATTATTTACTGTATGTATGTATATAATTATGATTATATAAACCGTTATCGTTAATTTTTACTATACAAATAATGCTGTTTAACTTATGCAATGCACATGCGCGCCAGTTTTTTTATTTTCATCCACATTAGGTGTAATAAGTATGTATGTTTTTGTGTTTCTATTATATTCAGTTTAATTTTTATCTTTTGTCAATTTAATACTTATGATACTTTTCTTTTTATTGTTAATACATTTAAGCTAAGACTTAGTGATTACACTTATTTTAAGTTCTCTGCACTGATTGACAAATAAAACTTAGAATATTGTCAAATCAAGTGCAATTATAGATCATTTTTACTTAAGATTTTATTTCTGGTATCCGATACAAATTTCTAAATTTGTATACTGTTATTTCAAAGAGTACTATGCACATATACATATTATTTTCGCAGTAAATGAAATGCATAAAATATAATATTTATTTTTTTTATAGATTTTACAATCGAATTTAAGATTTATTACTTAGCTGCTGCACAACTGCTACTTAACCTCGCACTACAATTTCCCATGAAAACGACATACAAACAAGTTATGCATTGCATATATGTACATATGTATGTTTGTTAATTCGATTGCTGAAACGACTTATTCAATATACATATACTAATTTTTTAGCTGGTGGCAGACTGAAAAATTAACATTTAAATTATGTATTATGTTAAATATCGTTTTTCCGTTATTTAGTTACTAACTTTTAAACTTCTATCAGACCGCTGTGCAACTTAAGTTTCTAGCATTTACGATGTATTTTTTATTTGCATGCGCGTATGTAAATTAAATCGTTCAAAATGTATGTATGCATTTATGTTGCGATGTGCTTGACAGGCACATTTACTTTTAAATTTTCGACATTTTTAGGCTAGTAATAAAAGCTTACTTATTAATATATATGTACATATGTATATATTTATACACCAAAATATTAGTTTGCTCTATCATTATATACAAGTAAGTTATTGGTATTTCACAGACGCGGCGTATTACGTTTTACTCGAGATAATCATATTAGTAATTGTCATATTCATTGAGTTTAAGATGAATCGTATCTAATTACACTAATTCCAGCATACTGCTAAATCTAATAAACTTAATGTTATGATTTCCGTAGTACATCATTCATTTATGGTTTTCTTAGTTAAAAAGTTCACATTTTTATAACATAATAATAATTATTATGTTTATATTAAAATTGAAAACAAATTATTTCTTTACATTTTGGTAGCTACATCGCTAAGTGCTAGCATTATGATACCACGACTGCCGTTATTATTTGATCATTAAATTCTAAAACGATTCTTTTTTACAAATTAATATGTCAAAAATTACGAATAAACGGAGAGATGAAGAGATCGGCATAAATTTAATGTATTATTTTAATAAGACCACACTATGACTTTTTTTTTTTAACTACTAACTTGTAAGAAAAATAATATTTGTATATATTAAAAGTAGCGTGTTAGGTATATTACCTAAAATTTACTATACTCTCACTTCACTACTACCCAGACATATTGAAACACGTATACCTACACATATATATCTGTATGCAAATCACAAAAAATTTGGAATCAATACTTAAACAATTTTATTTTTTAATAAATTTCCGTGCTTTTATTATTTTCCAATATGCGCTTATTAATTAGCTTATATAATGATTCTTACTATCTAGGTAATTATGTATATCATATATGTACATTTAAAAATATTACAAGAATAAGTAATAACATACAAATTACACATACTATTTTATTATGATAATCCGTTAATAACTAATTTATAAGTATTATTATAATTTTTTTTTTGTGTTTATTTTTTTTTTTTTTTTTGTTTATGTTCTACTCTATAGTTAGCTATTTATACACAATGCGTACTTTCTCCATAACTTATTTTGTAGCTATTTAAATTTATTTCACGAACTGTGCAATTTTCGCTATGAATAGTTCATTTGCTGAGAGTTGGCGGGCGCGGTGATTTATTGGGCGAACAACAAACTGTTATCCAAGCGATAATTGTGCAGGTCAAAACATAAAATATTTATAGACTGCTGTTACAACTTAAACTAACCATTTTATATATTGTATTTGTAATTATAATTAAAAATATGCAGCTTTATAAAAGGAGTTCCATTCAAATATTTAATTACTTTGAAATCATGTTTTTTTTTATTCGTGTACATTCGCGGAAAGTAGGAAATATTTATTAATAATATAAATATTTTTCAATTTCAACACCATAATTTCAACTTGATTGAAAAGAAATTGCTCTCCAGCATTTTTGAACTTGTAAAAATGGCGGATATCAAGTCAAGTGCTGATAAATAATTTATTTATCAAAAGGAATAATTGCATAGAATTATATAAAGACACCGATGCACTTTTCATAGCCACAGGATTAATACAAAGTATACGTGTATTTGAAATTATGTTTGTTTTTAAATATTATGTCATAAGTGTTAAGATATAATGTTATTAGAAATGCTAACATTTTTCGGTGTATGAATTATCACACAACCAAACACTAATTCATCTAAAATTAAGTATTATCATATAAAAAGCTATCACAAAATATAACTAACATGCATACAGTACCACTAATTATTTAACTATGAAATTTGTAATGTTCACATTTTTGAAAATAAAGTAAGTTACTTAAAGTTTTAAATTATGTAAAAGGTAATGAAGTTAGTTAATCGTGTAATATTCGCTGCGGGTGCAGGTGCAAAATTTGTGACGGCTTTTAATGAATCTAAGGCGATCGAATCCAGATTCCTTTAGAAATATGCATGAACTTTGTTAAAGGGCAGAAATGTTCACAAACACAAAGATGCAATTGCAACTAGTTTGAAGATATACTGTGTATGGTATAAATTAAGTTATTTTCAAGTTTTCTGACGTTAATTTGTTTTGTATTGGCCTTCTAATTTAATTCTATAAAGAAACGATTTCTTATCGTTATTTTAAATAATGATTATTTCTTGAAATTTTGGATCTAATAATAACACAATTCACTGGTAATGCAAATTATAAAGAACGACTCATCATGTTGGTGCAATTCATTATCAAGTACGGTTGTTTTTAATGAAAAATAATAATATGAATTTGTATGAACGTTAGCATTAAAGTGGCCAGCATAGTGCAATAATATTACCATAAAAGTACAAATACTGAAAAGGCACATTTAATATTGTTACTGAATGTCATATGAAATAATGTATATGCACTAAAACACAATGATTAAAAGCGATGACGATGTTCTAGAAGTAATTCATTTCAGGTGTAGAAATTTCAAGTTAATAGTTCTTTTCTCATGAATTATCAATGTAGTTTATATGTGAAATTTTTTGAAACAATTTCAGCATAATATTGGACATTTTTTAAATCGATTTCAGTGTTCATTCATTATCGTTTAATGTAAAAATTGAACGTTAGCTCGCAAAGTAAATATTTTTAATAGTTCATATTTCAGTAAATGTGTGGCTATTGAAAAGATTTGCACATGTATAAATTACTGCCAGTCAATTTTTTATTTACCTTACTGAATTGGAGCTATTTTATGCTTCTTTTTATTGGTAAACATTTCTTTTGTTTCTTTTGTTTAAAGGTAACTAAAACATATACATATATATTATTTACTTAAAAAATACATATTTACAAAGTTTCCATGTGTTTCCTAGTATTGTGTTGAATATTTGACTGGTTTTGCCATCAATTTTTCTGTTTATACAAAATTATTTTATATTTTGATTTTATCTTTTATTCTTTTACAATTCTCAAAGTGATAAAAATAAACTTTTTCGTCTTATATTAGATTTACATACATCTACATATGATTTATGATATATTATTAATCATTTAAATTGCATTAAAGTCTCTCTATATATAGAATATATCAGTGTGTGCATGTAGTAGTGTATTCGTTCAACAGTATTTTAAGGATGAGTATAAATGAAGTAAACTCAGAAATAAAAAAAATCCTAAATTTAAGATATTGCTAAATGTGCACAAATTGGCCGACCACAAAGGATTTACCTTCGAAATAACATATAAGAGATGAAAGTACAGCCAACATTTTAATCTGAACCCTTAAGTAATATAAGTTTCTTTTTTTTTCGTAGACGATTTTAGCATCACAAGAAAGTCTTGTCCAAAAATGTATATAAATATACTTTGCATGTACTATTGGTTTTGTAATTAAAAGGATTTTAGTAACCGCCTACTTTTTATAGTAACTATACCATACTTTATTTTTGATCGATCATATCTATTTTGAGTACTGCTTGCATGCATCTAATGCATCTTTCGGCAAATCATATTATTACTCTTTAAATGCTTATGACAATAAGGTATAACTTGGTGCGATGGAACGTATGAACGTGCGATCGTAACTTCAGAATGTTCTAAACACTATTCTTAACTATGGATATAATTCAAAGAAGCAAATAAATTATAAACCTAACTTTTAGAGATATGAAAATTGAAATCAATAACTTCAATTGTGATGCCTCAAAAACAAACATAAATAGTAAAAAACTTCAACCAAATATTTGAAACAAAAATATGATTGATTAATCTGTACAGATGCATAATTTTGGCTCATCTTAGTAATAACGTGGATACATCTTGTTGCTGTTGTTGCTGAACGTGCTAGTGGGTGCCTGCAACTGTTAATTACTACACTAGAGTTGTTCCACAAATTTGGTCAGTTGATCAGATGCATCGGCAACGGCTTGACCGGGACCAGCACCACCGACAACTCCACCACCAACTACACCGCCAACGCCGACGTCCTGTGATACACCACCTGGCAGTGGTGATTGATGTGGCGCATGCATGCCACCAACATGATTATGTAGACCGCCATCATGTGGTGGACCGGGCGCTGGTGAATGACTCATTACATGATGCGGCGATGGTTGAGCGCGTGGCGAAGCTGATGGCCCACCAGCTCGTGGCGATGGCGCGGAACGCGGCGACGGTGTAGGTTGCGGTGAACGTATAGGCGGTGAAGCGCGCGCTGCTGACTGCATTATTTGTTGTTGCAGGGTATGTGGCGTCGGCGGGCCCATTACATTAGGGCCACCCACCATGCCGACTCCAGGTCCCCCCACCACACCACCTGCTTGCATCATTTGCTGCTGTTGTTGTTGCTGCTGCTGAGTCACAGCACCTGGCATACCACCCATTTGTTGTTGAGGTGTGGGTGGTTTTAGGCCTTGTTGCATAGCCGCAGCGGCTACTGCATACTGATCACCTGGCCCACCAGGGCCAAAGTTACCACCGGTAAATTGTTGTCCGCCACCACCACCCATTTGCGGAGGTGCGCGTTGACGTTGAGGATAAGGAGGCGGGTAATTGGGCATCGGCATTTGTCGCGCTTTAAACCATTGTACGTTAGGCATCTGTTGAAGGAAATAAATATTTTTGAAATATACTATTGACTTGGTGCTACAAAATATCAATTTACCGGTCCTTGTTGTTGCATGTTGCTAGGCACTTGCTGCTGTTGTTGCATCATCATTGGATTTTGCATGCCTGGCATACGCTGATGTGGTGGACCAGCTTGTTGTTGGGGTTGCATCACAACTTGTTGCTGATTCGCTTGAGACATTTGCTGCTGTTGGCTCATCATGTGTTGCAATTGTTGATTTTGTTGCATTACTTGCTGTTGTTGCTGTTGTTGTTGTTGTCCATTACCCGCTGGGCCACCGCCACCGCTACCACTAGGATTCGGTTGGCTCTGTTGACGTTGTTTAATGATGGCTGCCATTATACGCGGATTACGTTTCAGGACTTGCAGTATCTGTTGGTTATCGTGCGATGGATTGTTTTTAATCTTCTGCATAATAAGCGCAAGTTGAGCTTCATTTAACCCCTGACCACTGTCAACAGGTGCATTGTGCTGACTACCTTGCGGCCGAATGCCACCACCGGGCCCACCAACCTGGCCGCCAGCGACCATGCCTCCCATGCCACCGCCAGGGCTGTTCATTCCTCCAACCCCTGTACCACCAGCATTATTACCCATATTGCCAACTGGACCTCCAAGCATTTGATTCGAGCCGCCGGCTCCAACCATGCCCATCATATTCTAATACGTAGACAAATATAATGCGCTATATTCAAAAAGATGTGTGTTTTTTTTACTTACCGGCTGCATACTATTCTGTTGCATTTGCACTTGGGTTTGGTTTGGTTGTCGCATTCCTGGATTGGAATTTCCCTGATAACGATTACCGCCACCCCATTGATCCATTGGCATATTGTTACCCATAACAGTATTTACACCACCTGGGCCCATTTGTCCGACACCCACACCGCCAACGCCAACATTTCCCACATTGCTTCCAATCATACCACCACCAGGATTGCCTTGATTAGGCATACCTCCTATGTGACGTTGGATTACTGGAGGCGGCATGGGACCACCTTGTTGTCGCGCAGCTTCCTCTTGGACCTGTCATATGAAGAATAAGATTTTATTATACAATCAATTGCTAGACATCAATAAAATATGAACTCTACAAATTTTACAACAATCTTTGCTTACCTGTTTAACAACTTGCAAGACAGTTGGTGAAGGTGAATGACCACCACCTGGCTTCATTCCAATCCCAGGCTGATGGGGGTGCGGTGAAGTCATACCTCCACTCATCTGTGCCGATACCGGTGAGGGTACAGCCACTGTAGATGGACTCATTCCACCAGCAGCATTCGCTGCCATTAGAGCTGGTTGCCCAGGCATATTTGTTTGACCAACATTTACACCGGGGACACCCACACCAACACCAACGCCAACAGCAGCGGGTCCAACAACGCCGCTAGGCACTACAACTGGACCAGCTCCAACAACTGGACCACCTGTTAAAGCAGCTGGTGTAGTAACGGTGCGAGTCATAAGAGCCATGCGACGGCGTAATAGTTGTTGCTGTTGTAATCTATATTTGAAGATATGAAATTAATGTCCATAACAAACCAGATATAGGTGCATTTTAAAAATACATACTTTTGTTGCAATTGTTGCTGTTTGAGCTTGTGTTTAATATTTGGACAGAACGGAACTGGGCATTTTTGCTCCTGGCAGTGCTTGGCATGGTAGCAGCAAAGCGCAATTAGTTGTTTGCAAATTGGACAGCCACCATTAGTTTTGCGTTTGCAGTTCTTTGTATGCTGAACAACCCGTTTCATCTTTTGACACGAGGGCAAGCGACAATTGGCATCACGGCACTGACATGCGTGCACCAAAGACTGAATGCATCGTTGAATGGATTGTTTCCGCGCCTCTTGAGGATTTGCTTGTTTGAGATCGGCTGGTGATGAGCCATCATCAATGTCCAAGCCAAGTTTCTCCATTTTATGTGGATGGCCAACTTTCTCCTTGCACACCGAGCAGAGATCAAAATCCTGTGTGAAGTAAATGAAAAAATGTTAAATATAATAATAAGCAAGTTATTTAAAACAAAAAACAAATTCTAATAAGTATGCACTCACATCACAAACTGTGCAGTGATATCGTGTTTCCACTGCAGTTTTGCAATTGTTACATGTATAGACGAACTTATCTTGGCCTTGGTTGTGTAGTTCGTACAGCATGCATAACGTAGAAAACTGAGCACGACGAAGTGATGAGAATTCGAAGTGCTTGTCTCTTGCCAATGTTAAGAACGCATCTCGTCCATCCATCAGATCACATGCTAATAATGGATCTGGATCTTGTATAGGCTTTAAAGGTAAGAAAAATGGTTAGAAATCAATGTTCGCGAAAATACTGATAAGAAAATCTTCGGATTGTAATCGATGCAATAAAAGAAGCATAATTGTGGGGCAAGTAAGAAACAAACCAATGAATAATTGAATACACCTACCGCTAAACTTGCAGCTGATTGTGCCGAATGCAGGCGTATCACAAAGAACACCTCCTTGTGTTTCTCCATAGTGGCATAGATCTTGGCAGAGAGGTCATTGCCTGTCTGTTGTTCATTGGTCTTCTTGTTGTTTTTACGCTGCGCAGCTTTGGATTTATTGGATTTCTTTGCTTTCTTCTGACCCTTTTTCTTTCCATCACCACTGACTTCATTGTCTTCAATTGAAAATATCTGCGAAATGAATGCGAAAAATAAAATAAGTAGTAGTAGATTTTATTTATTGCAGTCCAAACAAAAATCTTACATTGGCTGCTGCAGCAGCTTCTGCTGCTTCGGCTTGTTTGCGTTTCTCCTCTTCCTCTTGGTCTAATTCTTTGATACTTTCTTCCAATACATTAGGCCAGAAATCGCCTTCAAAGTAAGGTAACTCAGCCGCTGATGTCAATTTGTCTTCCATTGCTTGTTTCAAAATATCTTTGTAATCCTGTATAGTACGTTCAATCATACCCTTGTCTAGCATTTTTTTATACCATTCCTGCAAACGTTTTGGTTTAGGTATTTTCTGATCCGTCGGATGACAATGGAATATATAATCGTCGCCCTCGGAAGGTGGGCATGCCCAAATATGCGCCATTGTGTAACCTAATTGTTTCACATAATCCATATAACCCAGCAGTATCTCATGATACACTGCGGTTCGATACTGACGCGGTTTAAAGAAATGTACCGAATCTAAATAGGCAATATATACACGTCGCGTGTTCGGTTGTGGACATTCGGAACCATATTCTTGTACATGCATGCCAAAGAAACAAACGTCAACTCCGTCCACCTCTTCAAATGCGAATAAAGCTTTCGCCCGATATGGAAATTCTGAAGACATTTCCGCATTATCAACGAATCGTCGTCGCATGCCCGGTTTTACCTCTACACATTTATCAGAGGAGGATACAACCCTTATGTGTACCTCACCAGCACCAGCTTCTTTCTTTTTCAAGAAATTATTCACACGTGTTTCTATATATATACCAAGTTTTGTGGTGGGCAAACGTTTCGCATTGAACTTGTTCTCCTTTCTTTTGGAATTCTTCTTCTTCAAGCAATTGTCACAAACAAAACCGCCCGGCCAAATCGTGTCAAGCCAGAGGACACAAATTTGATGCTGCTTGCGGCCACATTCCTGACAATCTACAAACGGCTCGAGCTCTAAATGATCATTCTTCATCTCTCTGAATTGATCTTTACGAATTTGCCTAATGGGTACGCGAATAAATTTGTAACACATAAATAAAGTAATTAAAATGAAAATGTTTCGGTGTATTTGTAATTGGCTCTAAGTATTTACTTACGTTTGAGACTGCTGCGGATCGTCGCCGAGAGTAACAGTGTCTCCTTGGATGTCGTTGAAACATTTTTGGCAGAAGGTGTATCTGTTTGAGGCAACACCATAATCCTTTAGACTTTAGTATTTACAAAAACCAATACGAATTTCAACAAATTTGTTAATATATTTTATTTATTTATATGATTTGTGAATGATTTCATCGCGTCCAAGCAGTGAAGCAAACGCAGAAGTAGGAGTAAATGATCAGTTAAACATCATAAGAAAGCACGAAAAAAGCAATGACATTTGATTTGTCATGGGATGTGTTGTTCCGTGTGTTCATATTTTGTTGTGATAATGTTGAATGGGTAAGGGAGTGGAAATAGGGAAAAAGAGGAACGAACGTTGGTTGGAAAAATATTAGTAATGCACGTATATAGGAGCATGTAGTACATATCAGTAAAAAAAAATTGCGCACAGAGGGAGGTGGTTAAGCATTTGAGTGAGCCAATGCCACAGCAGTTTTCAAAACATTGTTTTAAGTAGCAAACGATCAGCATTTAACATCAGCAACAGCGGTAATAAATATCGATTATTTTGTTGTTACACCATAAGCAAATGTGTATGATCATGTTGTAGATATTATTTTGTCGATGGTTGTTGATGAATAGATGTATTAGGACGTTACAGACGCACACAAAAAACCATTACCACATATGTTTTAATGGATTTTGCAAAGGAATAGAAGAAAATAAAAATAACAAGGTTCACATTAGAATTGTTTGGTTACAAACTATAAATAAAGGTAATGTCACTAAATTACATATAAAAATTAAAATAAATACAAATAAGGATTGTTGAATATATGATTTAATATTTTATACAAATTTTTAATTTTTTTTTTATTTTTTAGTAAAGCTTTAGCACATGCATGCAACCAATATTATTATTAAATGCGTTAATTAATTCGCACTCGAATTTGTAACCAATGCTCATAAGTTTGATAAGATATGTGATCAAATGGGCGTTTTCTACTAAATTCTTTAATAGTGGATCTTTACATATATTTGACGTGTTTGCTGTAAAAAGTATATGAAAACTTTATACATGTTTTATTTATACATTGTTTACGAAAAATTTATAAAATACGCAGCAGAAACCGGTTTATCGGTTGGATCTACGAATAACAAATATAATAACAATTTTTGAGTTAAAAAGCATAAAAAAAACATAATTATATTTGGTATAATATTAATAATTATATTTTTTTCAGTATAAGCTCGCATGTTCAATTCAGTTCATATAAATTATAAAAATATTTGAAATCGTAGTATTTAGACGGACAGGGTACGCAGTAAGTAATTTTAATTATATTGAATTTGTGATATTTTATTAATTTTGTACACAATTTTTGTACACCTCAAGTACTCATAATTTGATCATATAATACATTACCAAATATTTAGTTATTTTAAGCGTATAATGTGTTAATACATTTTATGAGACCATTTTTATTTAATAAACATGTTATTTAAAATATACAAAAATTAAAACTTGTAATTATTCGAAGCTCACATCTACAATGTGCCAAAACTGGACGTTCTTTGTTAAATTTTGCACAAAAAATATAGAATGCAATACCAAATTTATATACAGAAAACCGCGATTTTAAATATCTTTTCTCAACAAAATACGATGCTATTTAATTATGATATACTACAAAAGATGTTGTTCCAATATTTCATATACCTTTTTTGTTTTAGAAGTTTGTTCATATAAGCTTAAGTATGAATTGCTGTTTATATGACATATTGTCATTCCATAAAAAATGTATTAGCTCAAAACTATTCTTTAGATTTTTACAAGATGAAATAAAAATACGATTTAAAATAAATATTTTTTTATTATTATTTTATCAAAGTTGGGTGCTAAAATATTTTATCCATTAGAAACTATTTAGCTATTCAGAAACACGTTTACATTAAGTAAAAAATTTATCGATTATTTTCAAAATTTGCAAGATTCTCTAAAATGTTCCTCATGTTTGTTTTGCTCTCTCAATATATGTACATTTGTTAGAAGACAAGGAAATGTATGCCCACTTAAACCAAATGAATAATATCACAATAATTATTTTTACAAGAGGTGTCTAAATAAAAGAATTTATTATTAAAAGAGTTTACATACCTATTTTGGTAACTGTAATACTTGGCGTCCCGTGGTATGGTACATAATTGCTTTCCAAAACAACATAGCACTTGTGGATTGAATGTATATTTTCGACCACAACAGTAACCAAGAGCTTGCATTACCGGATCGATTTCTTGCTCAAATACTTCAGATAACTAGACCATGATTTAAATATATGTAAAATATATTATATTAAAAGATTCGATGTTTTTTCTATTATTTACAATTTACCTTTGTGCAGTATCGATAAACACGTGAAGTTTTACGATTATATAGCCATGCATTATCAAACATTAGCCACACATCATCGACATACTCCCACGGATCATTATATTTGCCATTCATTAGATTGTTGCGAATGGTTCCCAAGTCCATGGGTTTCTTCACAATATCAAAGTAATCTGGTATACCAAGTATTTGTGGATCCACGGGACAACGGAAAGGTGCTGATTCTGGTTCATGACGCATCAACTTATCTAGTGTTGGTAACAGTGCTTGTTTCAACTCCTCTGGATTGAATACTGAAATAAAGATCATACATTCACCTTTTTTATACCGATTAGTTTAATTTGTTATATAACTTACCGCATTTCTTTTTCTTATCGCCAGCATTAGGCATCAGTGGTTCTGGTACTACAGGTTTTGTTTCTGACTTCACTTTGGTATCGCCGTCACCTGATGTCTTTCCATCATTTTTACAGTCTACAGTGCCGGCATTCCCCATTCCGCCAACACCATTTGCGGCGTTGTTGTCGTCAGTGTCCATTGGTTCGCTTTTTATAATGCCATCTCCGTCTTCAATCTTTATTTCCACTTTCATGTTGGTACCGTCATTATTAACATTTTTACCTACACCAGCTGAAGATTGTGTGTCCATTTGAGAATTGTCTCCACCACCGCTCCCATCTTCCATGTACTCTTTCTTAATTTCATCTTCTTGCTTAATGGAATCCAATTTTCCTTTGGATGCGTTACCGCTTTCACCACTAGAATCAGCACTTGGTGAGGGTGGAGTTTCATCATTATCACGAGCAGCAGCTTCAAGCGCCGCCATTTGTGATGAAAGATTACTGCTTGATGTAGGACGTGAACTCATCACAGTCGATGTAGTAGTAGTTGTGGCCACTACACTGACACTATTACTACTATTGTTGTTGCCACCTTTACCCATCGATAATTGTTGTTGTTGCTGCTGTTGCTGCTGTGACAGATTAGGACCATTATTATTTGTGTTAATGGCATTAGGTTTCGCTGACAACTGAGTATTTGAAGATGACGCAGTTGTCGTCATTGTAGTTCCAGTACTGCTCATTGGCACACCTACAATACTGGAAGCTGTACTAGCATTCACCGACAGTGGCGTTCCTGATGTTGCCGATGCCGGGGACGGTGCCATAATGGGAGGAGTACTGCTAGCTCGTTCACTCAGGGGCTGCATAAGGGATGTTACTGATGGTGGATTGTTGGAAGGTGTTCCTATTGGACCATTCGAGACGAAATTTGGTGAGGGACTAGGCGCAGCTACCATAACACCTGTTGAGGGGCCGCCAGTTGTGGTATTCGCGCCTACCGAATTTCCACCAACTAATGACTCAAGACTAGTAGGAGTCGGTGGCATATTTCCCACTGAGCCCATATTTTGTTTCTGTTGCTGTTGCTGTTGTTGTTGTTGTTGCGACATTGGCGAAGGAAAGGGATTTTGTGGTTGTTGCTGCTGAGACTGTTGTTGTTGCTGTTGTTGCATATGAGAAGCAGGATTGTTAAACGGTGATTGTGGTAACAACATATTACTCTGCTGCTGCTGTTGTTGTTGCTGCGCTTGCAAAAGCCTTTGCTTCATAATTTCGGAAAGTTGTTGCGCTGATTGTGAACTATTCCCGCCATTGGCCGTGATAAATTGTTGTTGCTGACCAGGAACAGGACTTGTCAACACCCCACCACCGGCGCTTACTTGACTAGCTGGAATTACTTGGACACCATAAGGAGATAACACCGGACTTGGTACGACAATACTTTGTGGTGTAGATGTTGGCATTACTCCCATACCACTGTTTGGACTAGGTCCTGGCGGACCAACCAATAAATTGCTTTGCTGCTGTTGTGGAAACTGCATTCTCTGTTGTTGGTGCTGCAAAGCTAACAAATTTCCTGCAGGAGAATGGCCACGTATTCCAACCATATTTTGACCTGCTTGCCCAGGCATTATACCCACATTGCCAGGGGCTTGTCCACGCATTGGTTGTTGCATCATACCAGGAGCACCTAAGGGTATACCTTGGCCTCCACTGGCACCCATGGGACTGATCAAAGGTCTAATCTGTGTTTGCTGAGCTTGAGGATGTCCAGGAGGATGTTGTTGACTAACTGGTACTGCATTACTCGGACCTGGCCCTTGCCCGGCACCAGTACCTGTTGCTCCACCGGATCCGTGTTGCTGTTGTATTATTAACATTTGCTGTTCTTTTCGTTTAATGCGTTTTTCTTCTAACTCCTTTTGTATCTTGTAAATTTTCTCGGCCAGTAGGTGGTAATATTCTGACCGAGACTTCGCTGCCTCATACATGTCTTTCTCAACTTTTTCAGCATAAGAAACCAAATTGGCCATACGTTTATCAGCCATGGTTGTAGGATCAGACGTTGGGAATATCGCTTGTACAAGTTTATGGACAAGGTGTTTTCGTAGATCAGCAGTCACCGATTCACGCCAGTCTCTTTCTTCAGTAACGGCACTATTACCTGCGCTTCCATTACCGCCCTGTGAAGTGGTTGCACCCCCACTGGATGTGTTATTACTTTGAGCGTTCACCAAGCCACCAGAATTTACCGTTGCTGCACCAGAACCACCTGGTGCACCAGAATTATTATTACCGCCAGCGACTCCTCCAGGTCCGCCACCTGGGCCACTTACTGTTGTTGAATTAGCCATAATGGCATTATACGACTGCATTTTCATCTTCGCCAACTCTTGTGCTCCCACCAACTGCTTGTTAGGTGGTGGTCCATTTCCTGCAGTTCCCCCCATGTCAGCTGAATTACCAGCGTTATTAGCACCTAACTGTGCATTGTTAAAAGCGGAATTGTTATTAATATTATGAACGTTAACTGATAAAGGAATGTTTGATTGCTGTGATTGTTGTCCAACATTTTGTTGATTTTGACCAGTGTTGTTAGAGTTAGAACCGCCGATCAAACCAGCTAATTGTGGGTTGTTATGACCACCGCTACTTCCGCCCTGTAAAAGCACTTGTTGTTGTTGAACATTTTGGGTTTGCTGTTGCATGCCATTATCCCTGTCTCTTATACACATCTAGATGTGTATAAGAGACAGAGCTAATTGTGGGTTGTTATGACCACCGCTACTTCCGCCCTGTAAAAGCACTTGTTGTTGTTGAACATTTTGGGTTTGCTGTTGCATGCCATTATCCGGCCCTCCAGCTCCACCAACCATCATATTATTGCCCATGATTGTATTTGAATTCGGCCCCCCACCTCCTATGCCACCACCGGGTTCACCAATCTGACCTGACATCGGTCGCCCTATCGGTCCGCCCCCCAGCAACCGAATACGATTTAATTGTTGTTGTGCATTCACTGCATTATTTTGAAGCATGTTAGCTCCAGGTCCGGAATTGGAAACTGCTCCTTGCATTCCCAAACTATCAAACCGTCGGATTTCCTGATTTTGGTTCTGTGCGTTTTGTTGTTGCAATTGGTCAGATATAATCACGTTAGACTTCATACAAAGCTGATTTGGACCACCAGTCATTCCAACTTGGCCACCGTTTCCAGCAATAATATTCGTTCCACCAGTATTCTGTTGCGGTATCCCAGTATTTTGCTGACCACCACCCCCTACGGTAGCTCCATCTGCTTGCTGTTGCTGTGGTTGTTTTACAATACCTTGTAACGGTTGGTTAGTGTTTGTATTCGCATTAGCGCCACTTGCATTATTGTGGAAACTCTGTTGCTGGCGGAAAGGAAAACAAATAATACAATCCGAACGGGTACAAGTCTTGTAATGCAATAAAATTTGACGAGACGACGTGCAATGCTGAACGCTACATTCTTTGCTCTGTTTACAGGTCGCCATATGCGCCAGCACATCTTGCATAGATTTACAATAGGGAACTATGCATTTTTCACGGTTAGGGTTCAAAGATTCGCGCCGGTTGCACTTATGCGCGTGCAAGAGAAGCACCAATTGTTGTTGTATGTGCTTTTTCCTCTCTTCAGAAAGGTGTTGGCCGCCACCACTAGATCCACTGCCTGTGCTTCCACCGCTACTTCCACCAGCCGTACCACCAACAGATTGTTGAGAGGTACCAGATTGTTGCTGAAGAAGGATCTGAGCTCCAGGTTGCGGCGGTCGTGGGCCTCCCATGACACCAGCTTGCGTTTGTGATTGATTTGGACCCATTTGTTGTGGCTGTGGACCACCTACCAGACCCTGAAGGGTTCCATCATTACCAACACCAGCCATTCCAATGGGTACACCGGGTCGGTTGCCCTGTTGCATTGGGTGAACACCACCGCGTTGTGCCATTTGCTGCGCCAAAAGTTGCTGTTGTGGATTATTCGGGTTTACACTAAGTCCACCCTGGGGTCCACCAGGACCACCATAATTTCCAACACCTCCCACCGCATTTCCATAGGGTCCATTTGGTCCGACTGCTACATTACCGCCAACCATATTTGCCATTTGACCTGGACCACCGTATGTAAGATTACCGTTTAACACATCTGCTCGTTGAGCTACACAGTGATTTGATCCCATACAAACGAGGGACAAAACAAATATTGTTAAGGAATACGATAATGGAGAATTTTAAACATATGTGTGTTGTTTGAATAATTTGATGAATGATTTCTAATTTTGTAGTCTTTAGTTTCTGCGAAAAGCAATTAAGCTGCCAGCAAAGAGATTTTTTAGAAACATATAAGCAGAAACTTATAGCATCGGAACATTCTCTTTAATTTGGAAAGTATTTTACCACATTTCTTCACTACTACACTCTCACTGATATTTTTACATAAATTAAAAAAGTTTTTAACAAATATTCTCAAAATAAATCTAATTGAAGGAATAGATTTAGGGGTTATAAAAATATTAAAATAGTGTTATCTTCACAAGAAAATTCTAAAGAAATAACAATATAGAATAGTGTACTCTGTGAATTAAAAAATATACCTATATTCGCAGCTTTAATAAACACGGGTCGAATCACTGTGCGCTGTATGTTTTTGATAATATGAAATGTAATAGAGAAGCAAATAATATACATACCCATTTGCATATTTGGATTCTGCATTCTCGGACCACCGCCTGGCCCAACACCAGGGCCATTACCAGCCATTAAATGAGGATTGGGGCCACGAAGCAGATGTTGCCCCACCATTCTACCCATCATCGGACCATTTTGTAGACTTTGCGGATGACCAGGGCCGCCTCCTAAATGCATGCCCTGATTTGCTCCACCAACAGGACCCATATTTCCAACGGGCCCTACCCCACCAGGTCCAGCATTCATCATACCACCGGCACCTGCACCTATTTGTTGTTTTAATGTATTTACCATGCCAGCACCTCCACCCAAACCACCCAAATTGCTATTGGTAATCACCATACCTCCTATATTACCCTGAGCAATTGTGTTCATACCTGTGGAGCTGTCTCTTATACACATCTAGATGTGTATAAGAGACAGATATTACCCTGAGCAATTGTGTTCATACCTGTGGAGTAGCAAAATATTAACAAAATATTATTATAAGTATTAAATTTATTATAATAAAAAAAATACATATAAACTATAAACAATTGTACAATATATTTAAGAAGACTATTATGGTATTCAACTCGTAAATCAACACAACATATTGTGGAGACAAACTACAAAGTTTAGAAATCAAAATAAATAATTCATTTCCATATATCACTTACCAGGCATTGTATTTATTCCTGGAGTACCGTTGTTGGATATCGACATTGACATTGAGTTAACCATACCCATTTGACCACCAACTACTTGCATACCTGCTGCGTTTGGTGACTGCAAATTAGGCGATTTACTTCCCAACTGATTCATACCAGCTGCGCCCATTGGATTACCGATCATTCCTGTATTTTTATTACCCTACAGAAAAATATTATAACAATTAATATCTTCTGAATTTTTGTAAATAGGAGTACTTGTTTACAAATGTTTATAAGATATTGGGATTTTTTAATTTTGTATATAAAGGTTTCCGGTTTCCAGCCTATATTATTTCATTATATGTTTTTTATTTTGATTCCAATATTAATCAGTGCTAGACCATTTTTTACATTGATACAATCTTATAAAGGAATTGATTTCTCTTGTGAACTGACCTGTTGTTGCAATAACTGCTGTAGATGTTGATGATGTTGCATTTGACGTAATGGATTGCCAGGACCACCTTGGTTTCCGCCTGTGTTATCATCGCTTGCGCCATTCATTTGTGGTCCACCTGGGCCAGGACCCTGTGCAGGAGGTTTGTTGGGTCCACCGACTACGTTGACACCAAGACCTGTCCCTGAACCCCCTGGCCCACCGCCGCCGCCAAGAGGGTCTGGCCAATTACTATTGCCAGTAACTAATTCATCCGGTAAATCATCTTCTAAAACTGAAACATAGTCCGCTAAAAATAATTAAAAACAAAATGTTAAATTTTATTCAAATATCTCAGTATCACACGTAAATAATATTTTACTTACTTGGATCCATTTTAGTCCGCTTCTGCGGTGGTTCGTCCATATGATCAGCCATCATTGAGACGTCTTTGTTATGATCTCTATTTTGGTATTAAATTTGCGTAAGCTTGTTTAACCCAACGCCGATTTAACTTGATAATTTATGACTTGCCTTATTTTTTGTTGTTTGTTTTAAATTCAAAAATTTTCAAGCGCAATATCAAAGCTTATTTTGAATATCTTAATAACGACGAAATTATATAAAAATTAAAAAAAGTTGAATGTTTTAATTCAAACGGCGGAAGGAAAAAATTGATTTCCAAAAAAGGTTTATTAATTTTAAAAACACGATCACTCAACACTGATGCTTTTACTTGAGCTGCAGCGGCTGTGTTGACATTAGCAGAAAGGGTGAAAACTTTCCAAGTTTGAAGTTGGTTTATATAAGGTTGCACTCTTTGAAATCGCTTTCGCACATTTAAAAAATGTTTCAACTGAGTTAAAGCGTTTTTGGCGACAGCGATCGAGTGCATTTTGTGTCTGAAGTTATAAAGGTGGACCGAGAAGTATCGGTTATTTATTCCGTTTCTTAGTTTACCTCCTACGTTTCTTCAGTGTAAGATGATTGTTTTTTAAGAGTTTAAAGCAAATTGAAAGTGAATAAAGGTTAAGTTCATTTCTTATTTTCAATCGTTTATTGGCACTTGACACATTCCTGCTTTACCACTTTTTGTTGGACCAACATTTTTAAACGCCGACGTTTATCACCACCAACATCTTTTGAATCAATCATTTCTTTTTTCGGCAAGGTTTTTGCGCCTTTTTTTTTTGCAATACAAAACTCCAAGAATATAGCGATATTTAATTGCACATCAACTGTAAAAGGAGTAAAAAAAAATTATTACGTTTCTCTTCATTTCAAAATCTTATTGATTTAGTTTGTTTTCCCTTAAAGCCATAATTGTTTAAAAATAAAATTGTCCTATTTGTTTGCGAACCAATTGGGAGAAAAGTAAGTTACTTAACAACATTGTATCATCTTCCGATTCAAAAACTGTCACTATATGTTTTACCATCCATTAAAAATGTAAATACATTTCACGAGTAAATAAATGGCAGTGATGTTGCTTGACAAATTCCTTCAAATTGGCCAAGCCACAATGATTACAGGCAAATGGCAAATAGTATTAATTTTCTCTGCGACTCGTTCTTATTTTATATCAACCGACCGCCCGTTAATACATTCGTGTCATTCTTTCGTATATGCGACCACTAATTTGTGACTAGTGGGACCGTATGCATATAATTTTTGTTTCACTCGTTTGCTCAGATAGCCAGAGTTGTTGCCATTTTAGTGCGCGACAAGAACAAACTTATTTGTGGACAAAATTCGTTGATATTGCCTATGTAACTCGTTTGATTCTTTCTTAACTACTCGTTACTTTTCTACTGACGGACTTTTGCTCTACAAGACTGTGCTTGCTCGTTAGAGCCCTACTACCACAAGCCGAACAAATCGCTCCCATCGCGGTATACGAAACGCAAACTTTGTGTGTTGCTTATACCACTACACTTGCATGACGACCACCTCGAGCAACGAGTGCGAGCAGTATTAGAAAAAGAAAGAAAAACAGACAAGCAATGACTGAAATTTTTTGTCGCTAGTTTTCACGTCGAATCGAAAATTTCTATTTGCAGATTTTTTGTTTTATTAAATTTTATTTAAAAAAAAATTTCAAAAAATCTTACAAAAATATGCAAAATTAAAGAAATAAATTATTTTGTACTTTTAAAAAATTAAAGAAAAATTTTAATTTTATTTAAAAAAAAATTTACATCATTTTCTCACTTCAGATATTTATTGAAAACATTGTTTTTGTCGGCGCAATTTATTTTCAATTAAAGTTCACAATTTTTTGTTATTTTGAATTTTACTCATTTACTTTTTGCATTTTTTTATAATTTTTGACAATTTTTTTTAATCTTTTCGCAACAATATAACAAATATTCAGTCCGTTTGCTCCGCACCAGCAAAAACTCAACTGATTCCGCGAACGAGTAACGACAGAACTAGGAAGAAAGACTGAAATTAAAAGAGTCGAGTGCGATTTGCGAGAGTCAGCGAACACCGACTGTCAAGTGATGTACACACTAAGCAATTGGTCCCAACTAAACTTATAAAGGGAGTTTTAAAAAACATTTCACAATAATAAGACATTTTAATACACTCTTCCGCACCAATACACAAATTATTTACTTTTTTACAAAAATAAAAAATTTCAAAACACTGTGCCGTAAAACAAAAACGTATTATTTATTTATTTTACACACGCTCAAATTTTTAACAAAATTCCCTGTTGAACAGAAATTATTGGCATCACTTTTTATCGAAAAGTAAGTGTAGGAAATTGATACAAACTTCGTCTGTACTCGGTTGTTGAACAATGTAGCCCGATGGCTAAAAGAGACAGTATATGAGTAATAAGCAACGATTATGTCTATGCAACATTCACACGAAAACAATAATTATAGTTGCACTCTTCCAACGTATTGTAATAATATTTGGTCACATTTCAATTTCACTATCTAGCTTTTTCGATTTTGACATAAATAGTGAACAGCGAGTACAATAATAAAGCGAATTTCTATGCACATTATACTCGTTGAACATACACTGTTACACCGCTTCTGAATCGTATGAGAATAAATCAGCGAGTTGCAGCGAATATTTAATTGCGATTTATACAAATAATTACCCCATATTTAGACAATTTATACACATTAGAATGTGCATTACTATCGTAGAAATGTTTTGATTTATTAAAATAAGCACCAACTTGAGTAAACTTTTACACAAAATGTATCATAAAAAACTTTAACATTGTACATTGTAACGAGCTGCGAAAAATCACGACGAATTAGAAATGCACTCACGCATACGAACTCACCCGAGAGAAAATCGAACCGAAATATTAACAGAGCGAGACAAAAGCTTACAATATTCTTCACAATTGTGTTTCCTCGACATTTGTAAATATATATTTTTTGTAATATTATTAAAAATAATATCCCACAATCATAATAAAATAATTAAACATATATGTATTTAATATTATTTATCTGACTGCTATCGCAACTATCACTATAATGCCACGACCATGTTCGCGCACACACTAACAAAATGGCGGCTCTACTCAATGGCCCTGCTATCCGCAAGTAAAACAGAGATGTCCATATGAGAAGCATTGCGAGTGTTGCCATCGTTCATTTAAAAAATTGGCTTCAAAACACCAAATACAAAATAAATTATGATATAATTTTAAGTTTATCCTAAGTTTAACCATGAAAATAAATATAGATTATGTAATTGTTTAGGAATAATTATTATTAAACCTCAAAATAAACTTTGTTTAAATATATATTTAGGATAGAAGCATATAAAACTAATATATGTGTATTTGCCAAGGAGAACTGCTTATATCACCAGTTATGGTTCCGAGTGGTAAAGAAAAAATAATTCTTTCAGGGTTCCCTTTTTTTAAATTATATCTTAATCATTTCTGATTTATTTACATATCGCTTTATTTGACTATACTCCTTTCATTCTCAATTCTATTTCATCCTCGCGGCTGAAAACTCATTGGAATTCTACACGAATACGCTTGTGTATGATCAATTGATCCCCGTCGTATTTTTAAAGTGCAACGTGTGGCAGCACAGACCTATCAAATTGTAGAAATTTTACAGTTTTATTACTTTTGGAGTATAATCTTTGTGTAAAAATTGTCCGTCCTGGACTGTTTCCATTTTCGTTTCTTTTTATAATAATTTATCCAAACTCCGCAAATGATCAAGAATTTAATTTCTTAACAGAAAATGTATTACATTATAAATGTTTTACTATAATATTTAAATACAGTGAAAGCCATCATGAATCATATTATATTTATGTACATCCTTAGTTCTCTCTTGTCACTTATCGTCCAACAAGGAAATAAATAAAGAAAGTTGGCTTGATGTATATCAGTTTTAAAGCTTTGACTAAAGGTATTCGAATAACCTTTTCAAATATCTGTCGGTCTTATAGTAAGTAAGTGATGTTCAAAATTACATTGCAGTTTGTTTTTAATCTACATTTAAAATACAGTTATGATTCAAACATAAATATTTACAAAAATGTTGGTATTTCTGTGCAACTGTGATTTAGCGCCATCTGATTTGCGAATTTGGTCATAGCCTATGTCTCAACTAAAAATGAAATTATCAGTCATTCCAGGTAACAAAAAAAATACAGTTTGAACGAAAATCAATAAATAGATATTCGTCCTGAATAAGCTACATACCTATTAAGATTTTGTGGAATGTGGGAGCGCCATCTCGTTTTCATTGAGTTAAAAGTTGGGAAGAAGGTTAAAAGTTCTTTAACGCCATCTTTATTTCAGTACTCATAAAACAATCCATTAGCGCCACCTATTTTTCAGTTGTTAAATAGTTACGGCAGAGAATGTTAACAGAAATCGTGCTTCACATACCATGGATATGACAGATAATGCTAATGAATAGCGAAGGCGAATACAGTGAACTTTAATAAATATAGAAGGTGCAAATGTTAAAACAAATTACTAATTTGTAGTTTTCACATCAGGGAAGATCGAAAAATATAACTTTGAAATGCAAAATACGCAATGCATGAAACAGGGAAAAGGCTATAAATAGACACAGTGAATGCTTTTAATTAATTATCGATGCACATGAGTACTCAGATTTGCGCTTACAATTGTCAAAAAAAATGCTTAATTTAGAAATTTAAATAAATAATCTCTTAGATGAGAAAGAAGGTTTTTTGATAAAAATACGCATTTAATATATACATACATTCTTCAACAAATTTATCTGCGTTACGTCAACAGTTCTCAATGATTATAGAATAACGGATGTTTAAAGCAATCACTTTGCCACTTTTTAGGTGGCTCAGCTCGTAAGCGTGTAGGAGTTAAGCTAAATGCGAAAACGAACATCAACGTTCGAATCCTGAAAGCGTATGAAAATTAAATTTTATTTTATTTTATTAATTGGAATTTTAGCAGGTCTCAATTAATTTACTTTAACAGCATATTTTACTTACTTAGATAAATAAGCAAGTTTAACGATCGCCGGCAAGGAGGGGTCAGGGGTGTATTGCCACATAATTATTTTAGCAATTTTTAGTTTTGCGATTTTATTTAAAAACTTTCGAAATTACATTGCATTTCCAATTCTAATATTTATGGAATTCCTAAGTCCACCATTCAATGTCGCCTCAATGGAAAGTGTCTGAGTTGTCCTTCGAATTGGGTTCCCAAAATTATTACATTCTGTAGCAACATGTTGCAAGAGTATAAAAATATATATCGACAGAATAGTGGGTTTTCACACGCTTCATAGACTTTGTTGTTCTATTGAATATGTTGAGCTACACTTCTCTACTTAGTTATTTGACCGAAAGAAACAATAAAATCAAAACCAAACAGAAGTCAGAATAATTTACGTTTTTTTTTTGTCTACTGCTGTTTGAAAAAAAAAAATATTGCCTACATACCATGTACATATGTATGCATGTATGCGAATAGTGTGGCACCTGCGTTGCATTTATGTTTGTACATATGTATATCTTGTGTATAAACGTTGAAACGTATGAGCATCAATGTTAACACTTTACAGTAGCTAGCGGCATAATCTAACGCTTCACTTTACACAGCAGGCGCTCTGTTGGATATCAGAGTTGCTCTCAGTGCGTATACTTGTACAAATAAGCAATAATAGTTTCGACACCCCGTTCTTCATTACAACTGTGATAAAATATTACAATGAGGGCGATATTTTTGACTCATCACCGGAAGTATTGGAAGTTTACCTTTAAATTCTCCTCTTATCTTCTTCTTTGTAATGTGATGTAACATATCTTCTTCTTCTTTATTGGTGTAAACATCGCTTACTCGGTTATAGCCGAGTTTATAACAGCGCGGCAGTCGTTTCTTCTTTTCTGTCTCTCCAACGGAGGGGAAGTCTTCCTCATCCTCTGCTTCTCCCGGCAGGTACTGCGTCGAATACTTTCAGAGCTGGAGCGTTTGATCTAGGCAGCGTAGCCGCTGTTTTTTAATTCGCTGAACTATGTATGTCAATGTCGTCGTATATCTCATAGAGCTCATCGTTCCATCGWATGCGATATTCGCCGTTGCCAATGCGCAAAGGACCATAGATCTTAAGAAGACCTTTGTTTCGAAAACTCGTAACTACGACTCATCTGTTGTTGTCATCGTCCATGCCTCTGCGCCATATAGCAGGATGAAAAAAATGAGTGACTTATAGAGTTTGGTCTTCCAGTCAGTCCGAAGTAGCATTTGTATCCGAGGCTGTTGCTTTCTGCGGAGGGAGACAGATACATACATAATATATTATAATATATTCTGGATGTATGCTGAACGCATATGAGCACAGAGAGATATTACTAGTTTATAATGAAGAAAGAGGCGAGTTATCAAGTATTTCGAGGGGCTTTCTCATTGTATGTGGACATAAATGATAAGCAATGAGAAATCTGCTTATATGATTTAATTCTATTTCAGCTAAATCAACTGGAGATGCAAGGTATTTTAGCTGTGATATGGCGAAGGCGGAAATATTCAGATGGATTATGAGATGATTCTATCTCGTCTTCTTCCAAACAACAACTGGCACTCGATAATATTTATATTTTTACCGCATGAATCCGGTTCGGACAATGGCCAGTTAGAACTGCTAGAACTAATGAAAGGTGAATTTTGCTGAGGGCAAATAGCTCATTGCTCCTCTTACGATTTACCTAGCTATAAAGATCTTTAGGCTTTGCAGTCGATAATATCTGACCAGCGTTTGCCGGGCTTTCTAGAGGTGCAACCATCTACCTGTCAACTGTAAGAAGACTAGTGTTTCTATTAGTTCCTACTCTACAGGTAGTTTTGTGGCCAGACAAAGTAGTTTAATCATGAAATAATTCGATGCCACAGATATTGAGTCTATTCTTTACAGATCTTGAACGGTACGGTGAGGGAGTTAAAGGCTAGTGCGGCCGCCACACTATTGGAGTGTTTAGTTACTACTGCTACTCCAAATGCGCAAAAAAGCCTGAAATGAGATCTAGCACAATGTGTCACTAATTATTGATGGATTTTGGAAAGCGCGCTAGTGTTCTGAAGTATGTGTGGACCCCATAACCCAACGAATAGCTGGTGAATTTCGTGTGGAGCCTCGAAGGTGTGCCGCATTTCAAAGTTCTTTGAAGATGATGTAAGTCCTTCAAGATACTTGATTTCACCGATTTCTGATTACACATGAACATAAGCATTATTCGGTGGTGTTAATATTTTTTTGAGACGGTTTTTAGTGAACCACTAGGTCTACGTAATAAAAATGTCAAATATCGCATATTTTGTAGACTAAAACAATAAGACAGTGCAACGAATGCATTTTTCGCACAGTTAAATTCACCTACAGACAATGCATATTCTTGGACAATAGACAGCTTGGAAACAATCACCTCACATCGTTTACATACGTTTGTGTCCTTTACATTTCGCCGCTGACGATGGCAACTGAACACATAACCACTGCTGCAGGCAAAGAGGGGTGCGGCACAATCAAAGGCGTGTTGCAGGCACAGACAATACAGCGGCAGTCAAATAAAAATTATGTCATTTCCCATCTGATGGCGAAGAGTGGCAGAAAAAATCACAAAAATCAACCATATACATATGGATACATGTATGTATGTATGTATAGTATATATCAGCACATTGTTGCATTGTTGCACTTGTTGTTCAAACGAGAATGCAATGTAGACACAAGTGCGTCAGTGGTGTCCTATTGCGTACTTGTGCATGTCTTTTGTTGTTGCTATTACATTGGTTAGATATTTAGTATAGAATTCAAACAATTCTGAGTAAATTGTGATTTTTTTATGGCATTACATTTTTACTATGCGCAACGGCACAACAACAACAAAAACAGTAATAAGGCCAATTTAACACTTGTGACTTTAGCGGCAAATCGAAGAACAAATTGGACATATTTTCTTCTTCTTCTAAAGGCTATTCCTTAGATGCGAGCAGGTATGTACATGTACTTATATATAGAAATTTGCACAAACATATATACATAGATAAAAGCACAATTAAGAATTTATGTACATAACTAAAATTATTGTGAATTTCAATCGCACACACACATATGTATG